GTGGCGGGTGGGGGGGGGCGGGGGGCGGTGTGCGGGCAGGGGGGTAGCTCAGGGTGCAGGGAGGGGGTAGCTCGGTGCAAGGTGGGGGGTAGCTCAGGGTGCAGGGAGGGGGTTGCTAGGGGCTGTGTGAGGGCGGGGGGTAGTGGAGGATGCCGGGAGGGGGTAGCTCGGTGCAAGGTGGGGGGTAGCTCAGGGTGCAGGGAGCAACAGCAGGCGCCGAGGGACACCACGGCTGAGTGCCGCACGGCACCAGCGAGGGCAGCAGCTGCCCCACACTGCCCGGCTCTGCCTTCCCGGCTCTGACCTGGCTGAGGGTGGGGAGAGAAGGAGTTGGACGGGGCAGGGGGAGAGGTATGGAGCTTCCTTGGGACTGCCCTGCTCTTGCACTGTAGTTTCGGGGGGGCAACACCCCTGTGTCCTCTCAGCCCTTCCTGTGGGCTCAGGGCTTCTGCCCCGCAGGGGGCACCAGGGATCAGGACTTCAACCCTGCAGCTCCTGGCTGCAGCCCCAGGGAGGTGCTGGGGCTCGGGCGCTGGGTTTTAGCTGTGGGGCCCCACAGCCTCACTGAAAGGATTCACGGACCCTGTGGAGAACCGCTGCTCCAGACCGTAGCCGGATGAGAGTCGGCAGCTGTGCTTTGCTCCCTGTCCGAGTCCCATGCGTCCCGCCCTGCTGGGGAGAGGCGGCAGCTGGGGGCAGCGACGCTGGCTTCACCCAGGTGAGAACTGGGCAGAGTTTCCACCCGAAAGGCTGCGATGGTCAGCAGTGTCTCATGGCCACGGCCCGACTGATCCAAGAGGGGCAGCCGTGGGGAGGCCGTGGGGAGGCCGCAATGATTCAAATGGGGCTTTGCAGCCCCCTCCCCGGCAGGTTGTGAAATGTCACGCTCAGCCTCCTGCGCGTTAGAACGTTTTAGCCAAAGCGTTCAGGCGAACGACGAAGGCAAACTGCCATGAGGCCTGCGGGCTCCTTCCTGGGGACCCCAGAAACACTCGCCAGGCCCAGACGCACGCCCGGGAGCCCCGCGCAGCCCCCATCGCGCTCGTCCATCAGCGAGTCCCCGCTGGCAGAAGGGGACGGTTTGTGCACATCCCGTCTGTCGCGCTGTCGCGGAGTGTGGGGGAGTCAGGGCCCTGCACCCCTCTTCCCGAGATTCACTGTGACTCTCAACCAGCCAGTAAAGCAAAAGGTTTATTTAAGGACAGGCACACAGTCTCAAGCAGAGCGTGTAGGTACGACCAGACCCCCCTCAATTAGGTCCCTCTGGGAGGTTCAGGGAGCTTAGACCCCAGCTTGGGGTTCCCTGCGTTGCACCACCCAGCCCAAACTGAAACCAAACCAAAACTCCTCCTGCAGCTCCTTTGTTCAGTCTCCCGGGCAGAACGTGTTAATTCTCCCCACCCCCGTGCCTGGCTCAGGTTACAGCTCAGGTAGCCTCCTTCAAGGGAAGTCCCACATCCCCACTGCAAC